ACTGACAGGTCTCTTTGGTCCAGCACCTTCCCCTGCACAATTTTGACTTCTGTGGCTCATGTGCCACTTTCCTCTGGCCCTACCTCCAATCTGGTACTGGAAGTTGGGTGAAGGTTTTTTTTTTTTCTTTTTCCAATTATTCTGCTAGCTTTTCAGACACTCAGTGTAAGTAGCCCTCCCTGCTGCCATTTAGACGGGCAGGGAGACTGCCTGGTGCTCTGACTGTTCGATGGTAACAACATCACTCACCAATTCCAATAACCTCTCCAACCTGGCAGGGATTATAGGCATCAACATATTCCATTTTAATGCGCCCTTCAAATTACCATAGTGGTTTCCATAAGACTGTGCCCCATATGGTAATCCCTTTTTGTTGTTATTGTTTTATTTTTTATTGTATTCTTTCCATTACCATTTAGTTCCCTCATACCCCCTCTTCCCCTGTAACCACCACACTGCTGTCCAAGTTTATGAGTCCTTTTTGCTTTTTCTTCAATCCCTCCATTCCTTATCCAGTTCTGCCCTTAGTTGTCATCCTGTTCTCTCTCTCTCTGTTTCTGTCTCTATTTTGCTTGTTATTTTACTTTGTTCATTAGATAGGCTAGTTCACCACTGCCCTTCTATCTGACTGCATGGCCTGCATCAACAAATTAGGAAAAACAAACGTTGTGGCAGACAACAAGTAATTCATCTCACTGAGCTGATTTGCTTTTACTTTCTTCCATCAAAGTAGTAACTTTCCAAACTTTGAAATTACCATCTACAAACCAAGCAACTCCTTTGGCCAATTGATTGTAGTTTACAGGGCACTGTCCAAGGAATCATGTAATCCATCAACTCTTCATACAGCCACCGAGTCTGTCCTAGGGGAAAAGAGGCTCCCTACTCATAGTACATTTTCCCTGGATTCCCCTATATAAAGTTCTTACAGATACAATTTTTATTTTATTATGGAACTTTTCTGGGCACTGCCCTTTGCATAAGAAAATTCATCCAACATTTCCCAATATGTCACGGGTACTTCAGGTTTCAAGATTATTTTGTGTTCTTCAATCATAGCGGCAGTTACAACACATCTGGTAACAAGCTAATAATTGTCCCTTAAATGGACATAACCACAGTACCGGTGACCATCGCTGGAAGACATTCACAGGCTTTTGGCATAAGCCCTAATATACACTCTATATAGAGGTATCACACAGAGAACATGTTTATAGCAGCACTCCAACTGTGTACCAGTACCTCATTCTATATTGTGGGGGCTTAGGCAGTTTTATTGGTTTCTACTTAGCATATCACTTGAAGGGTTGCTTTACCTGCTTTATGCTTTATAACACTGGGTAGGGGGCATGTCTCCAGCCAGACATAGCATCCATCTTGATAATATGTTCATGAAAAAGAGATAAAACCACTTCAAATAGTGCTCATTCAAAGAAAATATCATCTAAATTTTCACCTTAATCACATCAATCTTTTTACATCACTAATTGTAGCCTCCACAGAGATGTCATCAAATGGTTCTTCATCTAAAATCAAAAAGACCCTCTGGCCATGGATAAAATAGTGAAGGACCTGGACCAGTGCCAAAACAGCAGAATGGGCTCCCAGAGCTTCTCTTCTCCGATTGAAGGGCTCACCACTACATGTAATGACTAGTTCGCAGGACACATGGAGCAGAAGGGAAAGAGGCAGGCAGTGCTGAGCAGCTCTCTGGCCATGATAAGATTTCTCCCAATGGGTCAGTTTAAGGAATCTCTGCCCCATACCTTCCACCAGTATAACGATTTCATGAGCGAATAAAATCTCACCCCATTTGATAAAAGAAAAAGAAGCCAATTAAAGCCAGATAAGTGAAGTAGACCATTCTGTGTGGTGTGGGCCCAGCTCCCACTTGGAGATGCACAGGACCCACACCCATGGATAGGTTTTCCTGTGGGGAATCAGGCCTGCAATGTACCTAGGCTGCTATGAGTCTTGCTTTTTGCTAAATCTCCCTCACCCTGAATTGAGGACATTTACTGCAAAGCAACTTCCTAAAAACCATGCTAAACCTTCCAAGGATGAGAGTAACTGGTCCAACTACTTTTGCCTTTTCATTTGCAAATATCCCTCTTCTGTGATGTGATTAGCAGCACTGGCTCCTTTGTTTTCTGTAAAAGGTAACCACCTAAAGTGAGCTTGTGCTCACTAGTTAATGAGGACCTTCTTGCAATGTGCCCAGTAAGACAATAAAAGCTCATTGGAGCAAGGGCTGAGGCTTTTGCTCCCTTGAGAGAAAAGCCATGCTGTCCCTTTTCCTCCACCAGACTTGGTAATCCACGTGAATGTCTCATTTCATCCATAATGACGCGGACACTGCGAGCCAGTGTCTTCATCAGCTTTTGTTTTTTATATTGTTCGCATCCTCTTGCCCTCAATAAACAATTTTTTAATGTTTCTATCCCCCAAAAAACATTACTCTAAACAGGGTCAAATAGAATGAACTTGTTTGGGGCCTTTTGATGTTAGGAGACCTGCAGGGGCCTGCTTTCCTCTTGACCTTCAAAAACTGTATGAAGACCTCTGTTTCAACACCATCAACATCCATTTTATTTATCTCATATTTTAAAAAACTATCTAAAGATTTACACATAGATAGGACAAGTTCCTTGACTCTCCTCTTTCCTTCTAATTAATTACATTAATGTTTTCTCAGCTTCTGTAAGGCCCATGAGGGGAAGCTGATACAGAGAATTAAATAAGGCTTCTGAACTTTTGCTCAGTTTTATAGCAATAAGGTTACATGGAGTGCCCTTGAAATAGGGGTCTTATTGATCATAAAACTTACCAAACCCTGGGTAACAGGCATATTCAGTGGATGAATAACCACATTATCATAAAGCCAACCCCAGAGGGCTCCCATGTGAGACACATCAGCTGTTTCACCTGGGGGTTTTCCAGTTGGCTTTCATAGGAGAACTCGGACAGCCCCTTTCTCAGGATAAACAGTGCCTATAGTAGTTCCTCTTTAGCACACCAGGCTGCCTCTTTCCTTGGGCATAACATGCTGTGTGTCTGGATCATATGTCGCCACCTGTGATTGTTCCTTAAAGAGCTGTCTGTGCGTCCTGTAGCAACCCAAAACTGGCCTTCCATGCTGAAGCTTTTACAAATATACTGCCCCTAAATTAGTCCCTCTTAATCCATCTCAATGAAGATGCTTCAGGAAGCTGGCAATCTGACTCAGAAATGAGGCATCCCAAGTCTACATACCTCTGGAATCAGATGATTCTTGGTTTTGCTTTTCCTCCACATTGACTACCTTTTTGGCCACCAGAGATGTTTAGTTATTTTTGTTGTCCTGGCACAGTTTTTCCTTTTGGATGTCCTTGAAGTTAGTGGCTGAAAGTCAGACTGCCTGAAATCTGAGCTCTATCCAGCATCATGGTCCAACTCAGCATCTTCTTTCATTTCAGTTTTTACAAATGATTATAACCCAAGGATTGTATGTTTGGCATGCTCTTTCTTACTTTGCATTTTCTTTGGTATCCAATAAGTCAAGTTCTCTGGAAGTTAGATCTACCACCACTTCACTGGTAAGAGATCACAGAACTCAGGAAAATACTTTATAGATATTTGCTGGTTTATTATAAAGGATACTACCCAGGAACAAGCAAAATAAAAGACATGAACAGAACAGTGATGTGGAAGGAGTGATCATGGAGCTTTCATGTGCTCTCCAGGTGCTCCATCCTCCCAGCAGCTCTGTGGGTCATGAACTGGATTGCTTTTGAACCCCATCACTTATATTTTTATCTATGGAGATTTTATTGACTATTGGTGATTAATTTGATCACTAGCCCTTCCATGCTCATCAAAAGTTGGGGGTGAGGCAAAAAACTCTGAGTTTCTAGTCAAAATGTGATCTTGCTGGCAAGCAGCCCCCATCCTGAAGCTATCTAGGGTCCCACTCACAAAGGGTTGACTCATTTGAACAAAAAGCTATCACACTTATCACTCAGAAAATTCCAAGGATTTTATGAGTTCCATTTTCAGGTGCTAGGAAGGAGGATAAAGATCAAATATCTTTCTGGGATACCACAACTACATACTCACCCACAGAATTACTGTACTGTAAGCAAAGTCAAATAGTAGGGCATCAGTTTATATACTTACACACACCGTGTATACTGTTAGAGCTCCTGGCCAAGTATTTGCAATTCTTTACCATCTGTTTTGTCTTGACCAAACTGTGTTCAAACTTCTTCCTTTCCCACAGGCCCCTGAAATTTGGCTTATCCCCAGGCTTGGGCAAGGGCAGAGATGCAGAATACGCCCCCCTGGTCAGCTATCCCAAATCAGTTGACCCACAACAAACACATTTCCTATCAGGTGGCTTCTGTTATACTATTTACTCACTTCTCCTGGCTTGTTCAACTTCCCCTCATAAGTTTCTGCTAAGGTCTGCTTATCTTGTTCCATAAAAGGAAGGCATTTTGCTGTTTTATTTTGATACACTTTCAGATGTGTACTGAGCTCTGAGTATTCTCCCTATTGTCTTACTTTTTTGAGTAAAGTCTCTCCTTATGAAAGACCTGGATTTACTTTTATTTGAAGCAAAGTGTAATAAAGCTGTAATTATATCAGATGTCAATATCAGTATGAAGTCTACCCAGACAAAATGAAACCAAAAATTAAACAATTCTATCATGGATTTGGCCAATACAAATTAGGTAATCTGGATAATGTTGTGAATTATGAAAGTGCTTTCTTTAGGTACTTTCTATAAACTGAATTCTAAAATGAAAAAGAAGCAAAAGCACATTAGTTAAAAATTAACATTTGGCTGTATATCAAGGCAAGATTTTTTAGAATATAAGTTACTCCAATTTGTGAGCTTTAACTTTAGTAGAATTACATTATTTATATTTTATTTATATCTCCTTTGTTTAAACCTAATGAGAAGTCATTCAGTTCAATCTTGTTTAAAAAGATAACTTACTTCAATTTTTAGCACAGAAGAAAAATATGAATGCTTCACACATTTGGGCATCACCTTTGCACAGGGGCTGTGTTATTCTTCTCTTCTTATTTCTATTTTACTGTCTGTATTGCCATGCCAACACCTAATTTTTCTAATTAGAAGACTGTCTGAAATCAGTACACCCCATGGTTCACTTTATACACATTTTCTGGTTTATTATCAAGGATACAACTCAGGAACAGGCAAATTAAAAGACATGCACAGGACAAATGATGGGAAGGAGTGATCCTGGAGCTCCCAGGCGCTCTCCAGGTGCTCCATCCTCCCAGCAGCTCTGTTTGAGATGTCTGTAGACTTAGGAGGGCCACTGATTCTCCTCTTGAAAATAATAATTCTAGGCATTGCCCCATGTAGCCATCAAGTTTTAAAAATTACTTATTTCATAAGAGTTGAGTAGACTGCCATTGTAGGTTTATGTAAGAAACAATACACTAAAAGAAAATGCTGACTTTTAAATGGATTTTAGTTGTGTACATGGATTTAGCTACTTCATATGAGGTAGTAACCCTCTGCTTACTAAATTAGTATTAGTAATTTGAGTACTTGAAAATTCAATGTCAACTAAACAGATACATTTTCTGAAAATATTTAATGATAACAGGGAATTTTAGAAAAGTCTTGGAAGTACAAAGAAAATAAAAATTTATTCAGTTATTTTTATGTTTTGTTTTTAAACATCTTATTTATTCATTTCTAGAGAGAGGGGGAGGGAGAGAGAAGGAGGGAGAGAAACATCAATTGGCTGCCTCTTACACACCACCATTAGGAGACCTGGCCTGCAATCTAGGCACGTGCCCTGACTGGGAATTGAACAGGTAACCTGACCTTTCAGCTTATAGGCCAGCACTCAACCCACTGAACCATACCAGTCAGGTTTGTTTTTTGTTTGTCTGTCTGTTTGTTTGTTTGTTTGTTTTCAGACTTTTTCTTTACAGCAATTTTGCCTGAACGCAATGTTCCACTAGATGATAAATCTATATTGTCAATTTCTGACTTAATATGGTCCCTATGTATGTAGGGAAGCAAAATTTTGCCATTCCAAAATGTGTCTCTTTGTCATGAGGATGATTTTCAGCTGTTTATCTTTTTTCTAAGATTTTATTTATTTGCTTTTAGAGAGGGAAGGGAGGGAGAAAGAGAGAGAGAGAGAAACATCAATGTGCGGTTGCTGGGGGCCGTGGCCTGCAACCCTGCATGTACCCTGACTGGGAATCAACCTTCGATGCTTTGGTTCGCAGTGCATGCTCAATCCACTGAGCCACGCCAGCCAGGGCTCAGCTGTTTATTTTTAAGAAACAGAATATTCAGGAATGTTTCACTTTCCCTTCCCTCTTTAACTACCTAAAATAATTTAGATAAGGAGACTATACAAGCAAGAAAGTCATTTCCAAAGATAACTTCCTTTTCCCTCAAAAAGACTTCTCTGCATGGCTTGGCACACATTCAGTTATCAGAGTTTTCTCTTCTCATCTCCCTGTTTGACGTGTGCTCACCTGCCTGCAGTGAGCGTGGAACGCTGTGGATGGCTCATTGAAACACAAGAAAGATGTACACAGAGACAAGCAGTTTCTGTGGGGAAGTAAAAATGGAATGGCCACTCTCTCTCTAGTGGGGAGAGTGACTTTGGCCACTGTCTCTCCTGGAGGGTGCCCCGTATCCATTCCCAAGCCGATTTTTATTAAGAATACAGATTTAGTTTGTGGATTCATAGTCTGGCAGAAAAGATCAAAAGAAATAGGTGACTTACAAAGGTGCAGACAGAACTCCTGCTGTGATTCTGGGCAGAGATTGGAGTTTTATCATATGAAAGGACTATAGGTTCCAAAGGTTTCCTGTCTGTGCCTTTAATTCCAAGTTAATAACATCCTTCAGCAAATAGATCTCACAGGATCTTGCATATTCTATGTCCCAGGCCTGATTTCCCCGGGGTCCACCATTTCTGGTCTGGGCCACCCCTGCAGGCCTGAGTTAACAGAAAAGACAAAGGCAGCCAGGAGACTAGGATTTCTCACAAGGACTCAGGCTTTGACAAAGCTGAAGGGGCTGGGGTTGATGTCCATCACCCCTTCATATCCACAGCCCCGAGTCTCTTCCCTTAGGGCATTCCCATGTGATCGCATTTGTCTTAGATTCATTCTCTTTCTTAGAGAATTGTTACCCCTCATTGACTGCCAATCATTCAATGAGAGCCAGGCACAGAACAGGTACCGTTCATGCCAGGGAAATAAGTTTTGTCTCCTTAGTGGCTCCTGGTCCGGAGGTCTTTCACTCAGCCCAAGTCACGGGGGCGGGGTGGGGGTGGGGGGGTGGGGGGTGGGTTCAGCTTCCTGAGACCAGGCAGGGCGGTCCCCAACACCTGTTAATTGTCTTCTCCACCTTTGAAGTCTCAGTTCCCTATGCTCTTCTCTTTATCTCATGGAGGTCCATCATACAAGCCTTAATTCCCTTACTGCCTGTCACCTCACTTTCTGAGGGAGGCCCCCCATTTGTACAAAGTTATATTTGTTTTTGTCCCCTTAATCTGTCATGTTAATTTGATTATGAGTCCAACTAAAGAGCCTACAAAAGTACAAGGAAACGTTCTCCTTTCTGGCATGTGCTGTTTGTATCAAACCAGTAATTTTACAATTATAGGAGAAAAATCAGAATCCTCTTTGTTGCTAATGGACAAATAATTAGGAAAACCATATCCTATTCATTCATGTGGCTTTCCTTTCATTGCATAGATAAATAGGACACATGTTCAGTGAAAAGAGAAAAATGTTTATAGTTTACAAATAATTAGTGTAATCGGAGTATAAAACAAATACACCAAATTGCAAGAATATTTCTCATGTTACACGGCTAGTAATTTTCTAACTCTTCCTATATGATTTTATGTCATCTGGAATTCTTCCAGTTCACTTATATTCATGACCTCACCACTGGTAATAATTCACATATTCTGACTAAACCAAATATTTATTTTCCTTTGAAATTATGGCCAGAAACAAGTTTAAAGAATAACATTTGTCACAATTTTTTCTTATGTTTCAAAAGAACACTAGACAAAAAATCCGAGAAAGACACTGAAGCCTATTAAATGAAAGTTATAGTCAAAGTTAAAGTATTCAAAATCATTAATGAGGCTGTGGGTCTTTATAACAATCACACACTGCGGTTTGACCTTCATTTTACATCTCTATGCTTACCAATAGGAGCAGCTCTTCTGAATTTGAAGTTAAACTATTATAAATCATCTGTATTTTTATTAATTCTAAAAGAAATTTGCTTACAGATATAGTCATATTGCACTGTCACTTTTAAGCTTGACTAAATGGTGCTTATTTTGGTCACTGGGAGGTATTGAGAGTTGTATAAATCAACCAGTCATCCCAAATTAATTCACGGAGCTTTACAGAAGGAATAGACCCCATTTACCACTCACTTTGCAGGGAAATCTTGAACTTAAGTGGGCTCTCTGATTAGGAGATCAGTAAAAGTATATAATAAAATATGAAGATAACTATTCATTTAATGTAAATCTGTATATAACAGTACTCTTGTATTTGCCATAATGCCAGGATTATCAATGAATTTGGTTTAACTAGGAATTGTTTTCACGTATAGGGTATGTCCTGGGCAGTCCACAGGCAAGAATATCAGCCATAACTGGAAAATTCTTGAAAATAAAAAATGTCATATTGAAACATTAAAAATGCTCTTCACAAAACTACAGAATTGGACTTGGCATCTTAACAAGCTCTCTGGTCATTTACAGGCACATTGAAATTTGAGAAGCACCGGGCTACGGAACTGTCATAGAGGATGCTTTAGAGGGAGTCCTGTTTAACTCTCTCGTTTTCTTTATTAGCATTTTGTCTAAGGAAATCAAATTTCAAACTATAAGAGAAATGACTCATTTTCTGTCATTTCTAAATTGTAGTTTAAATCTTGGGGCCAGGCCACAAAACACACTTTAGTAACAGACAAAAAATTTAGCCAAACAGACTTTGCCTTTAATGCCTAAAATATAAATCAACTAATTTGTCCAATGTGCAGTGGATTTCAAAATTCAATGAATATTGTCTCATGGCAAGCTCATATACCTCTTTCTTTCTCTCCATTGCCAATGCTATCATCCTGTTTTAAACCGTAACATTCATCATCTGGATTTCCACGATACTTCCTAGCCAGTTTCTGAATTTTCACATTTGTTACCTCTGATACATTTTCTGTATTGTAGCCGTAGTCAATTTTCTGAAGTAGAAAATAATCACTTCGTTTAAAACCCCTGCAATGTTTTTATTTTTAGGAAAAGTTCAAATGTTTTAATAGCAACAGCGTATATCTGTAGTGATCATATTTTTGTTCAACTTTGCCTCCTGCCTGCACCCTTTTTCTTTCATTCCACATTCCACATACAAAACATACTGAATTCCAGCCATTTCCCCAAGCATACATAATAAACTTTAGCTTTGTATATTTAGTGCTTTCCTTAACTATACATGTGCTTCTTGATTTATGCTAGGGATACCTCCCTATAAATCCACTGTAAGTTGGAAATATCGTAAGTTTAGAATGCACTTAGTATACCTAACCTATCAAAAATCGTTGCTTAGCCTCAGCTACCTTAAACAGTGCTCAGAATTCTTACATTAGTTCACAGTTGGGTAACATCATCTAACACAGAGCTTGGTTTATCATGAACTGCTGGATATCTCCTGTAATTTATCAAACACTCTACTGAAAGTGTAAAACAGAATGGCTGTATGGCTACTTCTCATTAATATACACAGCTGAAAGCAGCTTGTTCCTAAAGAATGTTGGAAGCACTGAACTAAAACAACAATGATTATAGCACAGTACACTGTAGAGTATCAGCTAATTGCCCTCAAGGTCACGTGGCTATCTGGAGCTGCCCCTGCCCAGCATCACGACACAGTTTTGTACCACATGGTCACCATTCAAAACTGGAAATAAGGCATCTACTGAATGTTTGTCACTTTTCTACCACCACAAAGTCAAAACACTGGGAGTCAAGCTACCTTAAATCATGGACTGTCTGTGAATAATACACTTTTATTTCTTCTCATTTTAAGT